CTGCATAAAAACTCAGTTATTAAAAATGTAAAGCTTCTTTACATGTTAACATAGTTTTCTTAAAGTAAGGCATTTTATTTTTAGTTCAATATTTTTTATGTCTACATTTCATTTTTGGCTAACTTGGATTTTTCTTTAACAAAATCGTCGCACATAATTATTTCATTGTAATTTTTGGCGAAACTTCCAAAAATGTCCATGCTCAGATTTAGGTGAAACTTTGTGAATAGGTTTCTTTTAGATAAAAAACACATATTCCAAAAGGATTTTTTGCGACTCCAAAGTTTACAACTTTTTTAACATTTTTAACTTGCTGTCTCCGCGCATACATTTTCCACGAAACAAACTAAAACAGCTCTCAAGTAATGTAAACAATCATAAAGTCTTACTCGTCAAAGTCATAACATAAACATCATTGACGAAACTTCAGAAAATCAGAAACATTATAAACTACAATGCATAGTTTTCGAGATATCAATTTATATAACCTATCACATAGTATAATAATATACACAGAATTAGCAGTGAGAAAGAGAGAGAAAGAGAGAGAGAGAGAGAGAGAGAGAGAGAGAGAGAAACAGTACACACGTAAGCGAAGGAAGAGCTACTGCATCTCCTCCAAAAGCAGGGGGATGGGGGTGAATTTCAGTTCGCGTGAAAAGTGTATGCGTGAACTTTTCATGCGTGGAAAGTTAATATGAATTTTTAAATAATGCTTTAATTGTGTGTGTATAAACAATACACATTTAAGCGAAGGAGGGGCTACCGCACCTCCCCCAAAAGCAGGGAGAGGTGGGGGTAAACCTCGGTTCGCGTGAAAAGTGTATGCGTGAACTTTTCATGCGTGGAAAGTTAATAAGAATTTTTAAATAATACTTTAATTGTGTGTGTATAAACAGTACACACGTAAGCGAGGGAGGGGCTACCGCACCTTCCTCGAAAGCAGGGGGAGGTGGGGGTGAACCTCGGTTCGCGTGAAAAGTGTATGCGTAAAGGCAGTTTCCGTCTCCCTGCGGGGGGCTTCACTATTATTAAACTAGATACATAGTGTGCCTCCAAAGTACATGCGTGAGCTTTCCACGCATGGAAAATTTTAAACTTATGTGGCACCTCGTTTCGCGTGGAAAATGTAACGCAGAAGCAGCAAATTAATATATTTGTACTTTGTGTATGACTTTATGGTTGTTTACATTACTTGAGAGCTGTTTTGGTTTGTTTCGCGTGGAAAATGTATGCGCGGAGGCAGCAAATTAAAAATGTTAAAAAAGTTGCTAAACTTTGGAGTCGCAAAAAATCTTTTTGGTATGTGTTTTTTATCTAAAAGAAACCTATTCACAAAGTTTCACCTAAATCTGAGCATGGAGGTACAACCCAATTTTTTATTTTTCAATATTATACATATATTATACATATTATACATATTATACATATATACATATTATACATATATACATATTATACATATATTATACATATACATATTATACAATATTATACATATATTAATAACAAGAATCTTATATGTATACCAAATCAAAATTTTTTATTACAGAACAAGGTTTATGTAACTAAAAAGTATGATTTTATCTCAGTCAGTAATAAGAACGCATATCCCTTACAGAAATTTAATACGTGAGAAGTTTAATAAGTGATTATTTAGCTAGTGATTAATTACTTATTTTTAGTATTAAAAGCATTTAGAACAGCGCATTTAATACTCAAAATAAGTAATTAATCACTAGCAAAGTAATCACTTACAATATTAAATTTCTGTAAGAGAAGTCGACGTTTACATTAAAGAATAGTCGATTCGAAGTTGTACAATTAATTAAATTGTTATAAAAAAGATATTAGAAATGCGAAACATCGTGTAATTGAGGAGTGCTACACGACTGAATAAATTTCAGGTGGCCGATCGTCAAAAGTGCCAGAGTCGGTGCATAAACTAAGACCGGGTGATATCGATGTCATTGCCACGATGGGCGATTCTCTTATGGCTGGAGCTGGAATCTTTGCAGACAATCTGTTCCAGATTCTCATAGAAAATAGAGGAGTTACCGTGACTGGCGGAGGCCAAGGCACGTGGAGACAATATCTAACTCTTCCCAATATCATTAAAGTAAGGCAATCAAATCTTACAACGTTATAACGTTTATTATTGAACAAATCTTAGCATGCAAGACAAATACGAGAAATGGAGATTTAAGATATTGATGGCGGCCAATCATGGCAGTTAAATCAATAAAATTTAATTAAAATCTTTAAAACTATAGTAAAGTCTAATACCCGTTGCATTAACACTGCAAATCCAAGTGTGTTATTTTTACACGCATAAACATCTAAAAATGACTGTTTAGAATCTATATAATGAATCGTGTTTAGAATCTGTAGCATGAGTTGGTATCAAAGGTAAGGATAGGCAGAGCTTAATATGGTGATATATGGTAAAGGAGAGCTACAGTAAGAAGAAATAAGGCAGAGTAAAATCAATAGTTATTGACCTCCCGTAAACGCACTATCGATCTAGAAGCGCTACCACTATTACCATGTACACTTTACCGGCAGGAATGCCTGGACATAATACATATATACATATACATGTACATATATGTCATATACATATCAAAATGTCCAGGCATTCCTGCCGGTCAGTGTATGTACATACATACATCGCAATGCGAAGCAACCTTCACGTGTCACAGTTCGCCACGCATACTCGATCAACGACGATCAACGACGATCGCGTCGTTAATTTCTTTCAATAGTTCAATTAAGGATGTATGGGTCGTACAGTCCTTGCTAAAAGTTAAACTTTCAATAAAGAAGACTTTGCATGTATGTCAAACAACTCAAAATTTTTTATATGTTAGAAAGGATTACCGTTAACAGTTTGAGTATAATTTTGTGTTATTTAAATAATTAGTATTGTTTAAACAATTAAAAAAATTTTTTTGTGGCAAAAAATTTTGAAACTTAAAATACACAATATCAATGATGTATGTTTTATACATAAAAAAAGTTTAAGAAATATCTTAACGATTTATTTATATTTTATTTATATTTACAACAAAAATGTCAATTCTCTATAAGGGATAATGTTAATTTTCACTTCAATCAACTTTAAACTTAAATAACTCTTAAATAACTTCAAAAATTTACAGAGTATTTTTAATTTAATTTAGAAACAATTTACAGCACTTTCTGAATATATTGAAATATACCTCCAATACATCCTTAATTACAATAACTTTTAAACCAGTAAGAGAAATGTGCTGAAATTTTACACAGATACTTAGATGTAATAATAGAACAATCTATGAAATTTTTAGATTTTTGGTAATGCTTTGAGATGTCACCCATACATTCTTAATTTCAATACTGCCGATTGCGGCCATTATCACGAGATTATTCTGGAGCGCCGATAGCGGCCATTATTAAGATTGCTCCATACAAGCCGATTGCGGTCATTTTTAAGGTAACATTCGAGATGTTCTTGCGACCGAGAATCAGAGTTCACATTCTTGCATTTGGTGGAAGGTTCCATCTAATTTACAATCTTGGTTGCAGAGACTTCTCACGAGGCACTAAATATAGATTGCGTTAACAATAATAATACAACTATATCTTTAAATTCTCTTGGAGATTTAGTCAAACGTTAGACAAATGATTCCTTTCGTTCTTTCGATCTCTTTTAATTAAGTTTTCTACGTTCAAATCAAATTAACAACACCTCTTTCTCCAAAGAAAGTGTATATGCTTTTGTATAAGTTCTACTGTGAACTGTATTTCATATACTTATAATTTCATTTTGTTCGAAAAATCCACCAAATGATATGTTTGCGCATGGTTAATTCTTAATACAATGCGACTATTAATATTTACTAATATTCTAAGATATTTAATAATGAGACAAATTTTAAGGTTGATTGAATTGCTAAAATATTCAAATTGTGCGTCATTTACTTAATGTGAATATTAATAATTTTCAGTTCCTTTCATTTTAGTAGATAATAATGTATTATTTGATCTATTTTCATTAAATACGTCTTTCAATCTTGTTTATATAAAATTTATTATCTAACTTTGAGTTTGGTTTGATTAATAATTATCTGAAAGAAAATTAAGTCATCATTAAATCTCAGTTTAATGTAATTACTGTGCGAACTATTTTCGGATGTTTTGATTTCTCCTGTTTTTTTAAATTTATGTGATTTCTTATTTACAATGTTTATATTTCATGATTATTATGTGATCTCTTATAATGTTTACATATTTCATGTTTATTATGTGATTTGAATTCTGCATATTATTTAAAGTGATAATTTCTGCTGCTTATATGCGATATTCCACTGTGAAATAACCACTGATTTCTGTTCATAATTATATTTTATTATTCTGAAAGATATTATTGTGTATTGCTCTTTCATTTCATTCAGAGAGAAGGTCTGATACTCAGCGCCTGTACAATGACACATTAGACTGAAGCTCTTTTTACATATTTCTCTTTATGTGTTAAATTACGTCATTTAATACTTTTAATAGTATTACATTAAAAGTTAGTTCGTTTAATGTTAAATGACGTGATTTAAAACAGTTAGAAATGTGTAAAAAGAGCTTCACCTAAAATACGCACTTAGATTTGTAGTGCTGTTATGTAATAATTATATAATAAAAAAAGAAAAATAGACTTTTTTTGCACCATTAGAGCTACCGCGTGACTTTATGTGAGAGCGGCGAAATTGTAGTTAGCGGAAGGGGGCATTGAGGGGAATTCCCTCTTATCCCATGTGCAAATTTTATATTTCGTAAAATTCCCCTAAGGTAGTTGGGCGTGATGCTAACAATCTTACTTTGTAAAATAAAATACCAGGATATTAAGCAATGCCAAACGAAAAAGTTATATAATATAATATAATATATTATATCATATTATATTATATAATTCAGAATGTTATATCGGTTAATAAAATCATTATCATAATCATTATTGATCAATATTTAAAATTGTGAGTTCTTTATTCGCTCTCTAATTTTTTTCCTCACTTTAATAAATGTCTTTCTCTAACCGAAAATTATTTCTTTTCTTGCAATTTATTTTATATATTAAATAATCTTAGAAAGTTTATGATTAAATATATGATCTTTGTGACAGATTTTCACAATTTTATGACAGATTTATAATTTAAAAAAATAACATAGAGACGGATACTATAACGATAAGTTAGATAAGAAAAGTTGTATTATGTCTTGAGAGGGAAGGAAAGGGAGTAATGTAACACTAAAGGCTGATCTAACAATGTGCGCGTGTACAAATTAGTCATCATAAATTTTCATTATATTAGGAATTCAACCCCAATTTGATAGGATATGCATTGGGAGACTCTTTGACAACTGACAAGGCATCGCAATTGAATGTTGCCGAAAGTGGAGCTATGTCCGCGGATATGGTTTACATGGCGGATATGTTAGTCAAGAAAATTAAAAATGATCCAAGGATAGATCTGCAGAAACATTGGAAGGTTCGTTGAACTTATAGACAAATTTAATTTGTTGCAAACAGCGAGAGAAACGAGGAGGCTATTGTCATTACGTGAACTGCATGTTTTGTTGTATGTAATAATTAAGTTAATTATCACCCCTTATAGTTTTAAACTGATTTTCCTTGCGATAAAAATTTGACGGAACTATTTATAGCCTGTCATAATTTTGTAATGTTTTTCAAGATTTTCGTTAATATGCTGTACAACCAAATATCTCGCTTTGCTGTTAAACATTCTGCACTCTTATTTATTAAACATACATATCGATAACAATAAAATTTGATTTGCAGTTCATCTCTCTGATGATCGGAAGCAATGACTTTTGCAGTAAAATATGTTGGATTCCATCACCTTGGTCAGTTCTTGAAACACATAAAACTGATCTACTCCAAGCTTTGCGGACGTTAAGAGATAATTTGCCGCGAACCTTCGTGGCATTGCTTCCACCACCACATTTAAAGGCTATGGTTGAGATACGTGAAGAAAAACCATCGCTTAATTGTTTCCTCGGAACGAAGTTCGTGTGTTCTTGCATGTTTGGTCTCACATCTTGGCGTTTTAGATCTATGTATTACGACATTATACAACAGTAAGTGTAATAACGTAAAATAAAACAGAAAATAGTCTAGAGTAGTGTAAGTAGTCCAACAATGAACCCTATAGTACACTATAAACTATTGCGATATTTCATAAATATGACGTTACCAGAGTGTGCTTGTTGCATCATATGCAAAGACTCGCATTTGAACTTCTCTTCGGCTCTCCAATCGACCGGCAAATCACACAAAGGATGGCCGTTTAAGGCCACATTTTGTGAATTTAGACAAACTAAATTTTTTTTTGTAAATTTTACGTATTTTTCATGTTTTTGTTGTTATATCTATCATTTTTTTTTCATTATTCTATAGTTTTGTGTGTATATTTGGCTTTATAATTCTGTAAACAACTTTTTCTATTGCATTATTTTATCGTATTTTTTGGAAATTAGCGTAAAAAATGTTATATGGTTTACAATAAACCATTTTGTCTTTTACTATAGTTATCGGTGTTATAAAGTCTTATTAAACTGACTAGTTGCTACAATAAATAATAATCTAAGTGACAAAAAGTCTGATTAAAAATAATAATTTTGATTGTAAGCTTCAAATAATAAAAACATAACATATATAATTAAGCTAGCTTTAATTTAAATTTATACTATCCTAATCTTACTTATCATGTCTTATAATTATCTCTTCCCTAAATAAACATTTTAAAACATAGTAAAACTAAAATAACACTAACAATTCACAGCATAAAACATGTGGTTCATTGTTAAAAATGACTAGGTTTATTGTGTATAACAACCTTGTATACAATAAACCATTTAACATTGCTTTAAAAAAAACAAAATTGTGGCTAAACTTTAAAAATAACTTATGAGTCATCTTATACAATAGTAGCCAACTAAATTCATGACCTGCGTATGCAAAAACACAGATCTTTAACTCAATAATTGAGAGATATAAGCCTCTGAAATTTACATGGTTTATTGTTGGACTACCTACCCTATGTTATTTATTAAATGTTAATATACATATAATTATTTTCGGTAATGCAAAGTTCTTATCTGTGTTTAAATAATCCGATACGACATTAAGTAAAAAATACGTGTTTGCAATGTGCGACAGTATAAATTAATTTTAACTTGTTTCATTGAAAGTATCACTTATACCGTTGAAAGCAAATTGCGGATTGATTAAAAAGTTGAAAATATGTTTTAGGTGGCAGAAGTTAGATATGGAAATCGCAACTTATTCAGAATTCCAAAGAGATGACTTTACAGTCGTAACTCAGCCTATCCTGGTGAATTTCAGTATTCCATTTGCTTCAAATGGGTATACCGATATGACATATTTAAGTAGCGATTGTCTTCACGTTAGTCAAAAGACCAACGCTTTTTGTAAGTTTATTAAAAATTTCCTAAGAAGAGATTTGTTAACTGTATATAAATACTAATCTTTCATTTTTAAAACGCATTTTATTTATAATTTTATATTTAAAAACGCATTTTATTTGTAGTTATATA